CGACTACCTGATGAGCGTCCATCCGGCTGTACATTATGTCGCTATTATGCAGCTATGCCATAATAATGCGAACCTAATCCGCGCGCTGATACGGTTCGCCGCTTCGAATGCGATTATAAGCTCCGTAATTAAAATAAACTCGAGAGCTCCGAAACGCGCGCGAGATAAGCTCGATTTATCAGCTGCGCGAACACGCCGTTCCTTCGGTGATAAAAGAAGAGCGCATTTTCGCTGGTCAATTTGCGGTCGGAAGAAACGCACCGCCGAAGGAGAGTGTTGTTAAGGAGAAGGTCGCGTCGACGAGCGAGAATCGGTTGCAGGCTCTAATAGAATTCGATAAATATGCGCTGTCATGTGGAAATAATTGAGCGCTCTGATTAAATTATTAATTAAATTACGGGAGCGTCGTTGCATATATGTATACGTGTGCATATAAGTATATTGTGCACAAGAGTAATCAACTAAAGAACGCTAATGGAATGAATGCTGGTACACGCGATGGTAATTAATGACGGGTAGATCGATCGTTGACTTTTCGCAGCCGATGCATTTTTTTTTCACTCGAAGTCTTTTCTCTACTCTCGCTTTGTCCGTATAGCAAATAAAAAGGAATAAATAAATAAGCGGGGTACACAATTGCTTTTGTTCGTTATTGATCGGTCCTCAACGAGCGGCCGCTTCGTGTCATGATACAAATATCGTCGCAACTATTTTTCCAATCGAGGTATAACAAAAGTTTTATATACGTAATAAATGAAAGAAAAACATAGGAGACAGAAGGCGAACGTCAGATAAATAAAGTAATTATATTTTTCTTTCCTTGCGGTGTAGAAATGAGCGTTGAAGAATTCAGGATTTGTTTTATCACAGACGTTATTCGTTCTCTCGAGACTTGAAGCGCAAAGTTCACCACAAAAGATCCACGAATGAAAGAGAATGTAGAATAGATAAGTACGTCCGCTGATTAAAGATTAAAGAAGCTTTCGTCCGATGAGTTTCGGAACGTATTTCGTATCCGGTAGAAAAATGCGTCTCCTGAGAATTATTACAGAGCAAATTCTCCGCATCACGAAATGCATTACGAAACTCGCCGGAAGAAAGTATCACAATCTTTAATTCCCAATTTCAGTGACCACGTAACTCTACCGTGAACATAAATTGACGAAGTATATGTTCAGCTAAGTGCACAAAGTTGGTTTCGTCGTACCGCGCAAGCTCTTCGATGCGCTTGTCTCTTGATCAAAAAAAGACACGTTCGAGCCGTTTCGCAAACGAATGCACAAGAAGATCAGGTTGCAAGAAGGTACGAGAGAAGAAAGAGCGTCACCGAAAAGTCATCGACGCCGGCAGAATCAGGCGAGGAAGCGGTCAAAAGTCTCGGATTCCCGAAAAAGAACGATATTTCATGAAAATCTATAAAATATATGAAGTGTAGGCTTTCGTAGAATATCGTACGCGATATATTTCCGAGCATCAGGCCCTAAAATTGTTAATAATTTTGCAAAGCAGGGCATCGGGCTCACGTTTGCCTGCCGGTGGCTCTTCCTGCACTCGTCGTCTTTTGCCGCTGCGGCCTATCCCGAAAAATATCATCAAACTTGCATTTGCGGCAGCTCGTTCGCGATTTCGCGATACATGGAAAATTCTCGGCCCACTAACTCTAATCGGAAAGTCTGTTATCGCGCCGTAATTAAACCGCCGCCGTCGCCGCCATTGCCACGCGGGCCTCTTCATATCCGAACTTTACAACGTTTGGCAGCGAGAGCGCGATTACCGCGCGAGTTACCGTGTCGGGAACTAACGCCCGATAATACCGTTTCAAAAGCGTTATTTCCGTTTCGATGTGTCGTTCGCCGGCGAGCAGCAGATATAAATGCGATATCCCCGTTATATTTGCAGCGGGAAGAATCAAAAGAGAGGACACACGATGAAGTCACGAGAGAGAGAGAGAGAGAATAGAGGGCGCGGATTTTTTTCTCTGGTCGACACGTGCGCGAATACGGCCCATTGTCTGATAGCTCGCGAGAATATCGATCCTAATAGCGGCGAGTGACGTCGCCGAACGTCGCGGATGTGTCCGACTGGAAAAACAAAACCTCACCCGTCTCGCTTATCATATGTCAGCGCCAATGAGAGTACGAGAGAGGAGGCTCTCCCTCTCCTTTTCTTCGGCCCCTTTTCTTTCTTCGCCGCGATACGCGGAACAGCGAGGAACTACCGCGGAGTCGAGAGAATTGCGTGATTAATTACGATTAGTAGCGCTCGATGTTAAATCGAATGAGAAAGTGTTATTCTTTCTCGGCGGTGAAGGGGGAAGATGAGAAGGAGGGGGCACGAGACGTGGTGCGAGTCGGTGGTCGTGGTTGATGTCAGCGGGTTCGTCCTGACGATATTCGATGTAACGCGGTTATAAGAGATGAAGTAACAGCGAAGCTCTCGCCGGAACAAACTGTGGAAACGCGGCCGACGGAGGCGCTCGATCAATTTCGATAATTGAAGCCGCTCATTTCGAGCGGTTAAGCGCAAAAGTAATTATTCCTAATTGGACTTTCTAACGACACATTTGATATTATGATATTCTTCTTCTTCTTCTTCATAGAGACCTTCGCAATGGCAAATTGTCACATTTGGGAGTCAGATGGTTCATAAGCAACAGTCGAGTCCCTTTCTGACAATGAGAAAATCCTTCATGGTCTCGTCGTGAAATATCGTTCAGTCTTCAAGTGTCTGGCAAGCCATAATTGAATCAGCTCCTTTTTTCCAATCGAACGAGTTCGGCAAGAATCGTCTCGCTAGTCCGTAACATCCAAGCAAAGTGAGACAGACACATGGACTTTCTCCGCGAATTTAATGAAAAAAAAAAAAAAATATATATATATATATACAACAATCGAGATCGACGCGATGGAGCGGGCACAAAAGTAACCTCGCGCGCATGTTTTAGCAGCCGGACGATGATAATTCACATCGCCGAGACGGTGCACGGTGCCTCGACCCAGATACCCACGCGACTTCTATATTACGCGAGCCACCGCTGACACTTTGGTAATCGACATTGGGCGGCGGACGTTTTCACAGAACCGAGCCTGCGGCGTCGCTCTCGCGGGATCTTCCTCGCCGCTCGTCGCGACTCGGCTGGGAAACTCCTCGCCCATAATTGCGCGCCGCGAACACGATAAAACGCTAATGTCCCGTTAAATCACGCTCACTGTTGCGTGAAATAATGATGCGAGTTTCAGATCGATTGCTGCGACAATGCGACAATTGTTGCGCGCCGGACGGACGGGTGAGACTTTCGCGCTCGCATGCGAGGCGTGCGCATCGCGTGCTATCGCGAAAATTCCCCGATCGTTTAACAGATGCCTCCGCAAGATTAATTGTTTCAGAGACCGGCGTTGTTGAATTAGCGGCAAAAGCGCGGCAATTATTCCTCCGTTACGTGGGGTTTAGCAGATGGAGAGATTCCCCTTGCATCGACTCGCGGCTGCGGCGAGCGTTACGTTGCTGCGAAATGTTTGTCGCGTTCATCAAATAAGATGAAAGAGAATAAGGTAAACGAATGAAGTGAACAATATCGTTCAAGTGACTTGACGAGATTAATCGTCTGAGAGGCACCGTTGTGGAATCAACGAGGAAAATGCAATTATTTCCGCGTCGAAACGTAAGCGAAATTTAACGGATAAAGATATTCCCCACGTTCAGATGGTCCAGATAATGAATAATGAGATAATAAAAATGAAAAAGTCGTAAAGCACGACGACGACGACAACGGCAACAGCATCGCCGAGAGGAAACGTCGACTCGGACGGACTCGGAGGAACGCGAAGGACGAGAGTCGTTAACAACGGACGTGCAGAATAACCTCGCGTTATTTTGTTAACGCCAAGTCAAGTAAAGTGACAGTGATTAGATTCGTAGATATTGACTTAACTTCGCCGTCGCTCAATTTGACTCATTAACGGCGGCGGTGCGTATCCCAACGGGAGCCCGGAAAGTGCGCTTTACGTATCGGAGTGAAGCACGAGACGCGTCGTCTTCCAGTCGGACCGCAATCGAAATACACAGGAGGCCATCACGTGAACTCGTGTCCGATATAGCGGGTGTCGTCGATGCAAGGCGCAAACCGTCGTGAGGACAGCCGCGAGGATTATTCGCCTCAAAATTGATCGCGAGCGACGTCCTGCTAGGCCCGGTCGCGAAAGACGCGCGAAACATTCCGGGAGATTCCTCGCCTCTTTGTGAATAGCAAATTGTGTCTGCGAATCCTCTTATCGCGCTACGTCTTTACTTATTTAGCGAGCTCAGGTATCCAACCCGCGTAGAAAGTCTGATGACGACGGAGAGAAGCCCGGCCCCGTTTCAGCGAGCCTGACATTTCGCCGATTTTCCGCCGGCCGCGCGATTTGGAAATCAATCTTTTCGCGATCTTCATTGAATAATAACTTGCCGACGAGACGACATTTCGATGTACGCGAGTCGGAAAATCGCGGTGATCAACAGTGGGAACTTTGCCGAAGTAAACGCGGTACTTGGTCAGCGCATTCTGTCGAGGCAAACGGCACTTTGTTTAAAGCGCGAAGTATTTTATCTCGTGTTAAGCGTTAAGAATGGGATTTTGCTGTTTATTCACGTTTCGATTCGTGCGAATCCAGATATTCCACCGCTCGCTCATAATCCAAGAGCTTCGTCAAGTAGAATGGCGACAGAGAGAGAGAGAGAGAGAGAGAGAGAGAGAGAGAGAGAGAGAGAGAGAGAGAGAGAAAGAAAACGAGAGAAAAAGAAGGTGGCTTTCATTTTGTGGAACTTGCAAAGATCCCGTCAGGAGTAGGTCGTGATAGTATCCGTTGGAGTATCCTGAAGACGTCGGCTAACCGAAGATAAGGAAAAGATACAAAATATCCTGCCGGAAGTCATACTCTTTGTCTCCGTATCCTGTTCGCGGTCTTATCGCATCGATCGTGAAATGCGATAGTGCGAGAACGACATCTACGGGAACTCACCTCTTTGTCTGTCGTAGGCGTTTATACACTCGCTGGTCATAAACTGGCTGATAAGGGCTGTTTTTCCGACTCCCCTGGAGCCCAACATGGCGACGTTGTGCGAGACGACTTCCTTGGGCGGCGCTCGCCGCACCTCGTTTTCCTGCTCGGCCGGCGCCAAGGAGTTCGATCTCGATCTCCTTCTCCGGAAGGAATCTCCTCGGTTGACGACGCCTGTCGCACATAAAACAGTCATCTAAATGTCCCATTCGCAAGAATACTGCGGCGAATTATCGTAATTTAAATCGCCCGAATACAATAAAGGCTGAAACTGACACAATTGGATCTTAGCGGGAAGAATTATGGGAGGAGTTATGGGAGAGGAATACAGCAACTGCCGTGTTTAAAAAGACCGTCCTGAAATATTAAGTACAATTGAATTTGTGAGATTAAACTTTTCACGTAAATTATCGGGAAAACAACGAGGATTCGTACGAAGTATCGATTGAACAGCATAAAAGCGACAGAAACAATTTTACGGGCACGTCGCCAAGAAATCGCGTCGACGCCGCCCGTCGTGAAAAAGTGTGAATCCTCTCGGCGGGAGGGAGGGAGATTCCATGTTTTACATTTCACGATCCATGCCTATCGCTCGATATTCATACAGGGGACGCGGCACATGCCGCTCACGCATCGGTCAAACGTACATTTATTCCTGCATATTGTTCGCCGTCGATATTTAAAACGCATCAAATAAATATTCTGAATGTCGCCGCGTCCTTTATAACAGCGCGCTGACCCTGTCGATGCGGTATATCGCTAATACCGTCCTTTACGTGGGCACCATTATAATGCGCGCTTTAGATTGGCAAGAGATACGCGCGTGTAGATGGGACGAATGGGTCGGAATTCTCAGTAGAATTTCATTTCCCGGCTAATGAAGCGATTCCCGTGAAATATGAAATATGAAATTTCCGCGGTTCCCTGCCCTCCTTCCCCTCTCTTTCTCCCGTCTTCTCACTCTCACTCTCTCTCTCTCTCTCTCTCTCTCTCTCTCTCTCTCTCTCTCTCTCTCTCTCTGTCTCTCTCTCTCTATCTATCTCCCTGTCTCTCTCTTTCCTTCACTCCCGAGAGGATAACGCGCTAGCACGACGCACGTTGTACGTAAACTCATTTGAAGCGATCGTGATATATATATATATATATATATATATCTATCTATCGCAGGCGCGATCAACGCGAGAGACGGGTTATCGTTTTTTAAATATCGTTTATATACGCGAGAGAGAAAGTAGATCTACTCTTAAACGATCACTTCATAAATAAATATTGTTCGGAAGCTTTTCTCGCGAAGGTACATTTTCATAAGAGTGAAGTTTTTCACGGAATTTTCTTCACGGAAGTAATTCTCCACGGGTTATCGTTCTTTCGAATAAACACGCCTAAACACGCGAGAGAAACGCGGATCTACGCTTAAACGATCACTTCATAAGTAAACATTGTTTGAAAACTTTTTTCACGAAGGTACACCTTCATAGAAGCAAATTTTTTCACGGAAATCTTTTTCACGGAAACGGTTCCTCACGCAGGCAGAATTGTTCATAAAATTTTCTTCACGAATGCAAACTTACACGCGAGAGTAAAATTCTCCACAGAAAGGTTCTCACTTCACGAACGTATCTTTCTCCGCAAAAGTAGAATTTTACACGAGCGAATTTGTCTCCTCGCGGGATCAATTCGTGTTGTTCCCCGGCAAAATGAGAAGAACGCGCAAACGCGTGGGAGAGAAGCGAATGATTTGTTAATCATTCCGCCCGCGAAAAGTCTTCGCCGGCGAATGCGTTTCGGCAGCAATTGATTTATCAGCCAAACTGCAGATTTCATGTGCAAACATTCACCGGCGCACGGTCCAAACAATGATGGCGCGCCGTACTAGCCACAGCGATCAGCACTGTCTGCTCCTAAATAGGCGCGGACATTCGGCGTTGTTGAAGATAGGACGGCCGTTGGAATAATGGATTCGATTCGCGCGTCGTTAGGGAACGTCGTCGTCGACGAGCGCAGGTGGCCGCGGCCGGAAATTGGATGGGCAACGCGTGCACGAGCGACATGTAAATAATCCTTAGACGCCTCAAAGGTAAACTCTCCCGACCGCCGCCGCCACCAGTCGCGCTAATGCATTTGCGCTGCATTAGTAATTGCACGTCAGGTCGGACCGAGAGAGAGAGAGAGAGAGAGAGAGAGAGAGAGAGAGTCAACGGCGCGAAAGTCGCGCGCACCTGTGTGCGTTCGACGTTGGCTGTTTATGCATTAAACTTGGATGTGCACGCGCCGGGAATTATCTGTCCTACGTAAAGCGCGCGGCGCGAATATTGACTCAAGAAATGGATCATACGAGGACTAATCGGAGATAATAAAACGGGGTTAACGAAAGAAGGCGTCTTCCTTCTCCTTCTTCACTTGCACGATATTTCGTACGCCACATTATCGCGTTTTATTTCGGTGAAATTCCGCGAACGAAATAACAGGCTAATGACTGCATCAATTACCGTTGATTGTACAAAGTTGCCTCATTGATAATTGAATTGTCGGTGCGACACAGTTAATGACCGTAATTCGAGATACGCACGTACCCTTCAATGCTCGCTCTCTCTCTCTCTCTCTCTCTCTCTCTCTCTCTCTCTCTCCCTCTCTCCCTCTCTATCGGCCGAACAACCTATTTTTTCAGATGAAATTAATTCTTCTTTACATGTAACTTAATGTAACGCAATATTATCGGACCATTATGCGGCCGGCCAGCGGTATCCATTACGGCGCTCAACGTGTCAATGAAATCGACGATTTCCGGAGATGAGCGATTCGTTGTATGCGAAAGTGGGAGCTAAAAATTCGCGCAAGCAACGCTCACAAATCCAGAAGTTCACGGACCTCGTCGAGACGATGATTCACAGTGGCCACTTCGAATCATCCGCCAGAGATGACGCATGAATCCATTCCGCATCGTTCCGGATGACTCACGAATAACGCGATTCGCGCGTCTTGCGAGAGTCTCCAAATCCCTCCTCGCCCGGCGAGCGAATAGAAGAATCGACTGCTCCTATTGTCTACGATCAATCGCGAGATTGAAGAAGAGGACTAAGAAAGAGAACAGAAGAACAGAGGAGAAAAGAGGACGTCCACCCGCCACGGAAGGAGGACGATCGGTCGTTAGAGAGACGCGATGAAGCTCGTCGCGTTAAAGCCTCGCGACGAGAGAGTTTCTGCTCTGCCAAAAAGTTGGCACGCGCGTCCGCGATAGAGCGGCGACGCGACATGACGCGCACACGTGCGAATCTCGCGCTCGATAACGCATACCGACGCATCCGCGTGCACATGAACGCGGCGCACACGTGCGCCGATGTCAACGTTGCGGCTGTCAACCGTTGAGGGAGAGAGAACAACGCACGTCCTGTTCAGCGACTCAGAACACCGATATCCCGTCCCTCCGTCCATCCGTCCGTCCGTCCGCCCGTTCGTTCGTCTGTCCGTTCCCTCCCTTTGTCTCCGCAGCTTTGTTGGCGCGAAGTTTAGCCCGACGTGCGCTACTTGCGCGCATACTCGTACATACGGAATGAATGAAAGCCCGGAGAATCGATCGTGCCGAAGAGGAAGAGAGAGAAAGAGGGACGAGGCGAAGGGATAGTGAGAGAGAGAGAGAAAGAGAGAGAGGGGGAGGGAGGGAGAATTGCACATTGTCGAGCGACTCTAAGGACAATCCGATTTTCGTTCCGGCTTGGCGAAATCCGAGACTTCCTCGTGTCACATTCGAACATTAGCCGGGCAAATGCTAGATCAGACGATGGCGGCACCGCCCTGTGTCTCTCCTCCCTTTCTCTCTCTTCTTGGGTGTCATCGCTTATTTTTACCGATGCGACGGCGTTGGTGAAAGTCTGAGATTACGCGCGGAGTGATGATCAGGATTATTTAAAAATAAATGAGGGGTATAAGGGAACGCGTAGCAAGGGCGGGGAGGTATTCCCTGGGCACACGTGTGTGTGTGTGTGTGTGTGTACACGGACCGAAGTACGTGTGTGTGCCGAAGGGAAAAGTGCAATCGCGATCGTCGCGGATGGAATGCAAGCGGCGACGGTGAGGGAGTTACGAGCGCTAAAACGCGCGGCGGCCCTCGGAGCTTTCGCGCTTGATTGATCACCCCGGCGACGCGATTTTCTCGAGAAAAACGACAGAAAACTGCGGCGCGCTGCAACATCGCGACTCGGTGCCGTTTGTTACGACGATTGCACGGGAGAACGAAAGAGAGATAGAGAAAAAAAGAAAGAAGGAAAAGTATGATATTCAACAAGTAAAATATGGAAGAGCCGTTAAGAAGCCACGCAAAGCGAAACCCAGTAAATCCACAAGCAAAATAAGAAATGAAGGGGGAGAAGTTGTCGCAACGGCGCCCCCCTCAGAAATTAACCAAAAACACGAGAAACAGCGAAGAAAAAGATCGGTTGAATTTGCGGAACAAATAATAAACGAAATGAACTTACGGGTAACAGAATCACCGACTTGCACGATCGAAACTTTTCAGCGCACGAAAACCGGAAATTCCGTTTCTCTCGCCAGCAAAACGCGTTTGGCTCGAGACGTTGTCACGTCGTTCCAACCGATCTTGTTTTTCCGTGTACATTTCGATTGTCATTTCGACCCGGAAAAATTCAACGAGAACACTCAAGCGCCAATATTATCCCGCCGCTGTCTCGCGCGACCAGATTACCGGGACGCATACATAATTCTAGCACGCTAGCACGAATTTCTAAGTACAAATCGCACATTGTTATTAATGTAAATAATCACATGAGCGCCGATTAGGAACGTCGTGGCGGGTGCAGCGCAGCGGCTCGGTTACCGTAAAGCGCACACGTCAATTGACATGCGCTTTCGGTGAAAACACCGCACTCGACGGAGACATCTTCTACGCGACGCGTCGCGTTCCCGAAAAGAGAAATGAACGATCCCACCGCGGCGAAGAAAGTGGACGAATCATCTTTCCGTGGATCCTCGGGAGCTCTTCCGCCGCGGCGAAGCGGCAAGCAAGTTCCCCGTGGACGAGGAAACGGCCGGCGCGGACGACAAACGCGGTACAGGTGCACCGATTCGACCATCGGAATAGGTGAGGTGGATTCTATTAATAAAGGCTTAAATGTTCGACGTGTGCGATCAACAACGGCTGCCAAATCGCTTTTTGCGCG